CCCCCTACCCCTCAGCCCCCACCCCAACCTCACAGACTAACCGTTATAGAGGCGGTTGAGCCCGGCCCACACACAGCTGGCCAATGAGATTGCAGCACACCACAGTAAATATATGCGCACCTCACTGATTGGATGTCTCTATCCGGCCTGGCCCGCCCCGCCCCTATATAATCTGTGATCTGGCTAACCAGGCCCTCATACAGGCCCTCACATAGAGATGGAAATGTTTTGGGGGAGGGGGCAGGAAAGCCGTTCTAACCTCTGTAAATTATACTTGTGGGATTTTCCATCTCAACAGAAAATTTTAAAAAACTTTTTACTCCTTCCCTCTCCCTTCTTGTCAATAATCGTTTGCCTCCCTCTCTTTTAAGAATCAGGTTACACTGGGCACCTGGGTGGCTCAGTCTGTTGAGCATCTGCCTTTTGCTCGGGTCATGATCTCAGGGTCCTGGGCTCCCTACTCTGCCAGGAGTCTGCTTCTCCCTCTCCCCCTCCCCCTGCCTGTGCGCTCTCCCCCCCGCCCCCCAATAAATTTTTTTTTCTTTTTTTAAAGAGTCAGATTGTTTTGATTCTATCATGCCCAAACTACCGGTCAATCTTAACTCATATTTAAGGGAAATATTTTGGAAAAATCTTTTCTTTACTTGAAATCGTTAAGAAAAGGGCAGCTACTCCCTTTGGAGTTTAGGGTCAGAAGAACGGGAGCCGCCTTCCTCTCCCCTGTCTTCTCAGAGTGGTCTTTTTCTCCCTCCTCCTGGAAATGAGATGCCTGAGCCTTCATGCCTGGGTTGATTGATCCGAGACCTATCCTCCAAGGTCCTCTGTATGAACATTCAGACTTCCTAACCCTCTTGGCCAGGTCCCAGAATATTCTGTTCCCTTGACCAGCACACCCAATAAGGAACAAGTAGAAGGTCAATGTAGGAAATGCAAGGGGAGAAGAGAATCATGGAGTGTTGTCATGGGAAGTGGGATATAAATTAAATGCCCATGTCCAAAGATGCAGAAGGTTCTGTGTGCTCTGTTGTCCAAGATGTACACTGTGGGGTGGTTTTGGCAGGGCACAGGGCTGAACGAGAACTCAGCGCCAAGAGAGGAGAAAGAGGGAAAGCTTGGTGGCCAGATGCTTTCTCTTCCTCTGACTCTTGCTGGGTCACTTAGAAACAACACAGAAACCCAGACTGTGTTCCTTCCTCTGAATGACTTCCAACTCTGTCCCTCCCTGTCCCCCAACTGGAGGCCACTCTATTTTTAAATTTCTCTTGAGAAGTAGATTCCAAAGTCTTCCAGTCAGGGGAGCCTCTGATTTCCAGTAAATTCAGGGTCACATAGTTTTCTATATTCATTTGCATTCAGTTTGCATACAATTAGCATGCTTTGGAGTCCCGGACTCTGAGTGAAAATTACCCAGAAAATTAATGCAAATGGGCCCAGCTTTTGTACTCTACTGCGGTGGCAGAGTGTGGCAGCGTCAGCCTCAGAGAGAGAGAGTGGCAGGCCTGGCTTATAAGCAAGAAGTTTTGTCATCCTCTTGATCTGCAGGTACTCACACTGGGCCCACTAGGAACTCTGTCTGGGGCCGGGGGGNGGGGGGGCTCTGTTTTCCGGACCCTGAAGCTTCATCCTTAATGTGGTGGAACCTTGGAGAGGGAACTTCAGTCACGATGTGGGCATGGGAGCTTAGGTGGGACAGGAGCTGGCTGAGGATGGACCTTCAGATCTAAGTTGGGGGTGGAGATGGAAGGAAGGAGGACAGAGCTCATCACTGGAGACTGAGAGAGCCTACAGGAGGGGAGCCCTGGGTAGGAAAGGAGAGCGGGGAGAGATAAGACAGAGCAAAACTGGGAGGGTAAGCCCTGTGTGGCTAGTTAGAATGGAGAGTGGACGTTTATTAACTAGGAAGTTAACTAGGTTTGTTAACTAGGAAGGTCAAAGTTAGCAAATGCCTGGCTAGGCAGATTCCCTGGGGGCCATTCCTTTCCTCTCTGCTAGACAGGACTTTCTTGTTGGGCCCAGAAATCCATCCCTTGGGTCTGCCCAGGGATGGTCTGAGGTGTCACAGCCTGAAAGGGCCAATGACAGAGTGGTTCCTGGTAAGACAGAGATCAGCAGGTTGGAACCGGAAGGAACGAGCATACCACTCTGCCCACAGAGGCAGCTCATTCCTCCAGTGGCCAAGACACCTTGGACCTGAATGAAAGGCTCTGTCTGTAGCAGAGAAGTGGAGGGAAAGGGAGTGACCCCCAGGGCCAGGGGCCAGGGTGGCACCTGACATGGCGCCCAGTGTTCTAAGCCAGGGAGTTTATGGACAGACGGCTGGCTATGGGCTGGCTGCTCACCACAGTGCAGGGGCAGATACCTTCTAAGGCCACGCACTCCACAGAGTCAGCCCACGAGGGGGTCAAGAGGGTGGAGACCCCTTGGGATTTAATCCTGGCTCCACTCCTGAAGGCCTTGGGAAAGTTATTTGAACTTGTCTGTGCCTCACTTCCTTCATCTGTGAAATGGGAATAATTAGGCCAACTTTGTCGAGCTGTGGAAAAAGAGGGAAACACAATAGCCCCTGTAGAATTTTTCGAATAGTGACTGCCAGGAGAGGAAGCACTCAGTAGATGCTACTGTCATCATACGGGGCAGCCCCGAACAAGATGCAAGGAAAAGCCAGTGGAGCCTGGAGGGAAACACTGTAAGAGTGTGTTTGGCGGGGGGCGGGGGGGGGGGGGGGGGGGGGGGGGGGGGAGTCCCAGTCTCTTGGCTCTGTGCCCAGTGTGGCGGCTGCTTGTCCACTTTCGGCCCCAGCGGACACAGCCACAGCAGCAGGCCATGTGGATGAGGGCCATGCCCGGGCTCTGGCCATCCACAGGCTGGGAAGTGACACTTGTCACTTCTCTCCCCTCTTTCCAGGAGGAGAGTATGAAGGAAAAGAAATTGTTCCTTTCTTAGTTTGGCAAGAAGGCACCTGCGAGCTGGAGGGAGGGACCCCAGTAAGAAGAAAGGCACGGAACCCTGCCTGACTTGTTTGTCCCACTCCCAGCGAAGGGTCTGCTGGTCTGGCCTCTGTGGGTAAGAGGGCACTGAGCATCCTTGGTGGTGACTCTGTCCTGGGCTTCCTGCTGGTCAGCTCAGAGGACTACTGGAAGGAGGGGAGGGAGGGCTGTAGGGCGGAATGGACTGCCCTGGAAGCACCGTGCGCAGATTCAGGAGTGACTGGTGGGCCCTTTCTAGTCAACAGAGCCCTCCACAGATGCCTTTTCTTCCTGCCTCACACACACAGCCAGCCTCTGGGACACTCCCTGTGCTGCACACATGTCACACTCCCAGCATATCCTTCATTTGCACAGCTGCTATCCTGTGGCCAGCAGCACTGAGCTGGCGGATGACAAAAAGGGCCAAGAGGCTTCTGAAGGGGCCCTTTTCCACGTCCTGACTACTGAGATCCCAGAGCAACAGGCGAACCCCCGGTGTTTCCTCCAGCCCTTGCTCCTCCCTTGAGATCCAGCCCCTGATGCTAGGGGACGTCTGGTGGCCCAGCTCTCAGGGACCTCGCCTCCTCCCAAGTAGAGTTAGCGGACGAAACAGATTTTAACCTTACAGTGTTTCTGTCTCTCGGGCCTGGCCAGAGTTATGTCTTCTTGTCCTAGGTCAGGTCAGATTTCTCCCTAGACTGACTTCCATTCTCATCAGCTGAAGTTAAATTCACCATCCCTGGATACCCAGAGAGGTCCCCAAACGGTTGCTACTTGCTGGTCAAGCAATGGTTGCTACTTGCTGGATTTTAGCATCAGAAAGGAGCCCTTGTGTCTGGGTCCAGTCAGTCGGCTGGAGGGGGCCTGGTTGCCATAAGCCTGACTGGGTCCATCCACAAGACCCCCTGTCCATCTCTGAAGGCTGGGTCCCAGGCCAGGGCTGGGACGGGCCTCTCTGATTTTGCCCCTTGGCCAAGAGGCCGAAATGACCTCGTAAAGTTGAGGGAGTGGACGTGAAACAGACACAAATGGCTTTAGTTCCAGGAAGTCAGAAATGGGAGGAAAAGTTGTAGATATGCTTTGAGACCCACTGTGGACTAGGTTTTTGCTGTGTTGGCCAGAACTCTGCAGCTGACCTTGGGAAAGCCCCTCTCCTCTCTAGGCCTCAACTTCCTCATATGTAAAGTACAGNAGCCCCTCTCCTCTCTAGGCCTCAACTTCCTCATATGTAAAGTACAGCTGGGATTCGTCAAGATCCTTCTGGGTCTCACATGCTGTGTGGTTCTAGGTGTCCCAGTACTCTCTCTGTTTGCCGGGGGTCAATGAGCCTGAAGGCATGTGGCGAGGGATAGGGAGAAGGGGACCAAGAGACGTCCAGTGCGGGTTCTTGTGAGTTTAGTTAACTGAAAGGGGGAGGACAAGAAAGGGGTAAGAAAATAAAGTAAAAAGAAGGAAGAACATAAGAGAGGGAGTTGAGGAGAGGGAAAGTAGGAAACCTGGAGGTGGCACAATGACCTCAGGGCTCCTCAGGTACATCCTGGCCTGGCTGACTTTGTTAGAAGGGGAGGTGAGGGAGTGGCAAATCTTGTTTTCCAAAGAAGGCCACAATACCATCGCCGCCCCCACGTCCTTTTGCAATGTGGTCTTGTCATTGCCCTATGAAGAAGGAAAAGTTCAATTTCTCTCCCCTAAACCCTGGGTTGCCCTTCTGACTCACTTGTAACCAGTAGAATGTGGTAGCAGTTCCGTTGGGTGCCTTCGGAGGCTCAGGGAGAAGCAGCTTCCACTTGGCTATCTTGAGATATTTGCTCTGAGGGAAGCCAATCTGACTACCCGTGAGCAGCATGAGGAAGGCCGCGTGTAGGCATTCCTGTGGAGAATCCCACCTTAGAGCCATCTCCCTCAAGGCACCAGACACGTGAGTGAAGATTTCTTTGACTCGCCAGCCTGGACTACTGGTTCACCTCACTTGATACCATGAGGAGCAGAAGAAACCGCTCCCAGTGGAGCCCTGCCCAAATTCTTGATGTAGAAGAATCTAGGAGATATCACTTTTTAGGTCACAAAGTTTTGGGAGAGTTTGTTATAAAGCAAAAGGATGGGAGGAGAGGCTTATAAAAATACAAGCTTCCTTAAAACGAGAAACCCTTAAACATGTATGAACAAGACTTTTAAGAGCTCAGAGATGTGTGAGATTTCAAAACTAATTGGGAAGCCAACTTCTCACGTTGCCTATCTAGGACATTACCACAAAGTTACCATTTTCTATAGGTCACCATATTATGTTTTTAAAGAGTGTATTTTTATGGGAAAGGGACAAAAGGCACCCATCCCAGCAGATCGGTTAGAAGGAAAGAGGTGAGCCACAGCACATGTTGGCGAGGATGTGGAAACAGCAGAGCGCCCACGCATTCCTGGTGGGAGCGCAAAGTAATGGCACAGTCACTGTGGAATTAACATCTAGGACTGAACATATGTGTATATTCAATTCCATTTCTAAGTATATGTCTGACAGAAATGTATGTATATTTTTACCCAAAGATCTGCGTATAAATGTTCATAGCAGCACTATTCTTATTAGCCCCAAACTGGAAGTAACTCGAACACCCACCAATGGCTGAATGAATCAATAAATTGTCGAATATGTCTGTAATGAAATATAGCTGTGAGAAGGAATAATTGCCACAAAAATCATGGACAAACCTCATGACTCTGATGTTGAGGGAAAGAAACCAGAGTCAAAGAACACATACAATGTGATTCCATTTACCTAAAGTGGAAAAAGAAGCAAAAGCGAGTCTCCGATGTCAGAGGTTAGGACAGTGGTTCGCCCGGGTGGTAGAGAACATGAGGGAGGGGGGCTTCTCGTATGTATGTTATATCTCAAACTCAAATGTGAAAAACAGGAGGACGGACATGCTCTCGAAGCAAAGGATAGTTCTTTAAATAACTCATTTAACTTTCTAAAAGGTTTTATGAAAAACTTTAATTAATTTTTAAAATTAAATGAAATTCAATAAACAGGAGACTTTTAATTTCTCCTTCTTTAATCTCATGTAAGTTGCGTATGGCAAGGTGCTGGGGCTATGACTATGTCCGTGGGAGAAAGAAGCAGGGGCGACGTGGTCAGCGGCACCTGAAACTGGGGGAAAGAGGCCAGCCCCGCAAGGAAGGTGCTTCTCCGCGGCTCCTTGCTGCCAACTGTATTGTGTGCACGCAAGCGCATCTCTAGAAAGATCTTTCCCAAACTTCTGCAGGTCACGGCACATGTAGAAAACGGCAACATTGGAATGGCATACTGGCGTATCCCATGGGGCTCCTGGCAGCCAAAGCCAACTGGCTGGGTCCTCCGGGTGCCCCCAAGCTGAGTGGTATCATTTCCTCAGCACACTTGTGGGAAAACACCCACTTACAGAGTGTGGGAAAACATGAACCTCCATAACACATTGTAAGTTCTCCTGCTCTTCTGCTCCAGGAACATCCAGCTCGATGCGCCCTTCATTTCTGGATTACAGGTCCCATTTGCAGTAACGAAGATCATGGGGTCCAGGGGTTGATGGAGCATTCCTGGTCTCTCCTTTATGCCGCGGTCTCATTTCCGCTTCCAGCCTCATTTCCCAAGACACCCTCACCCCCTTCCCACTACCCTCCCCCACCCTATGCCCTAAACACATGATACCCTGGGCGCACTAATCTTGTCTGTCATCTAGAAACCTCGCCCAAGACCCCCAAGCTCCCAGGTCCTCCTCTTTCTCCATCATCTCTCTGCTCAGACCTTCCCTTCTCGATGATGCCTCTTTCTATACACTACCCAAGGCCACCACCGCACTTTGATTTGCGTTACTGGTAGGTGTGTGTATTCGTGAATTATCTTGCCCATAGGAGGTGCTCAACAACTGTTTCTCGAATGACTTCTAGGCTGCAGAGAGACCGTGACACTAATTCCACCCTACCCCTATTCTGGATGGTCACTCATTATCCCCTTGAGTCGGAACCCCCACGTTCCTAGGGTACCCGTCTTGTGGCCACTCCACACTCTGCCATTGCCCTGCCCTGGGAGCCATGCAGCCTGGTTGAGAGACATTACGCCCCTCCCGCCACCGCCCCCCCCAACTCTGGGATTGGCTTTAGGCTAATTGTGATGTGACAAAGGGAAGGGGTGACTGCCCCTTAGCCTCAGTCCTGGCTCCCACCATTCAAGCAATAGCCCGTAGTACCAGGATGTGGCCACAAGGGGCTCTACTGGGCGACTCTTACCTGTACAGTGGAGGAGGGTTTGCGGGAATCCATCTTGCCCAGATGCACAAGGAACAGCTCAAGGAGCTGTCGTCGCCTGTCCACTTCCCTTTGGCTGCCTTATCCTGATGTTTTACCCCTTAGCCAAGATTTTCCTCCTTGCTTCTTGCTATCCCCTTTACACCAACAGTCACCGCGGGGAAGGGCACGTCCCTTTTTGTCTGTTCTCCCTCCTCTAGATGAGTGCTGAACCTATGCCATGAGCTCCCTGTCCCTCCAGGCTGTGGGATGGAAAATTGTCCTGTGCCATCTTTTCAACACCTCCTGACTCTGCCCCCCTCTGTTTCCCCAACGCCACGCAGGATTAGGTTTCTTCATCTCTGGCCAGGATTAATACAATCCTGGCTTCCTGGAGGATCGCCTGTCTCCAGACAGCCCCCTGGCCGCCAGCTGTCCACCCTGGCTTTCAATGGCTCCCCAAGGCCCAGACATTCACACAGCAGCCCAGGTGCCCGAAGATCCAGCTGCCTGATTCTCCAGCCTCACGTCCCTCTTCTCCCCTTGGGCTCCAACCAGCAGTACTGAAATGCCTGTAATTGCTCAACACATGTGATATTTCAAGGTTTTGTACTTTGCACACATTCTTTTCTGTGACCTGCACCTCTCCATGCTGTGCCCTAGCGCCCCATACTTCCTCCGCCTGGCAGAGCCCTAGTCACCCTTAAAGCTGCTGATTCCTCTGTGAACCCTTCCCCGACCTCAGACTCCTTCCCATGCCCAGGAACCCTTCCTCGGAATGGATCCTGTGCGCTGAACACACGTCTCTCCTCGAATCTGCCATTTAGAGTTGGGCTGACTACTCAAGCCTGTCCTGTTTTCCCCATGGACGCCACAGCTCCCCGCGGGAGGCCGAGCTAGCGCTCAGTGGGTGATACCTGGGAGGTGTTGCCTCACCCCTCTCTGAACCATCACCTCCACCTTGACCAAGTCCTTTAAATGCTCCGAACTCCCCTTTGCTGATCTGCCAAACGGAGACCTGGGACAATCAGAAGAACTTTAAATCATTAATGAACTTTAAGGGGCTAAGTGCTGCTCAACAGCCAAATGCGATGCAGATGTCTTTATTCCAGACTCGCATTTACCTGCACTTGCCTGTGTGGAAATCAGAGGGTCAAAGGAATGGGATGTGCTCTTTTTGTAACTTCGCTGCCTTGAGTCCAGGGAAAAGCTGGTTCCGAGTCAACTATTAATTCTGTCTCCCCATAGCAACGACTCTTCTCTGAAGCTCTGGGTTAATGATTCTTTTTTTTTTTTTTAAAGATTTATATTTATTTATTTGCCAGAGAGAGATCACAAGTAGGCAGAGAGGCAGGCAGAGAGAGAGGAGGAAGCAGGCTCCCTGCCTAGCAGAGAGCCCCATGCGGGTCTCGATCCCAGGACCCTGGGATCATGACCTGAGCTGAAGGCAGAGGCTTGAACCCACTGAGCCACCCAGGCACCCCTGGGTTAATGATTCTGAGGTTGTTTTCTTCGCGGGTCAAACCCTATCTAATCTGTGGCATGTTCTATTCTTGAAGAATAACTTGACTCACTCCAATAATTCTCCATTCTGGGGTTGTGAACCTTGTTCGGCCCGAGGAAACGGTGACTGTGTGGGGGTCCCTGGCTCCTTTCCTTCCTCATCTGTGCCCCCACCCCATGGCCACCACCACCTTTCCTTTACAAAGAGAAGAGACTCCTCTCCTCCCCCACTGAAGGGCCAAGCACATATGCTGGGACCTAACAATCTCCCTCACGTGAAGTTTAAGGATTTGTTTTCTGAACTCTGGAGGGGAGACTTGGTAAGGAGAAACCCCTTTAAATTGTTTCTCCGTACCAAAGTTTAGTTAGTGGCGGTGGGAGGAATGGATTGTAGGGAGATTCCCGACTGGTCCCTGGAATCCCAGGCTGTTTATGGCTGCAGTGCAGGTCACACAGAGGCTGGGGATGGAAGTCTGGGAGCCAGACACCGCTCAAGGGTGGTCTGGGCACTCTTGAGATAAGACCAGCTGACGGCTGTGAACTCCCTGAAATTCAAAAACCAGCTCGCAGAGGCTCACTACCAGGAGTCCCCCAGCTCCCATCCCTCCCTCCCCTTAATCTAGTACATTTGGTGCAGAGTTTTGGAACACAGTGGTGGAAATGCTTTGCACAAAGGAGTGGGTCACTGTTCTGCAAAGGTTCCACTGTGCCATAGGAACAAGTTCACTTTTCTGAGCCTCAGTGCTCCTATCTGTAAAATAGAGATTACATTTACCGTAGGTAAATTATGCCAAGAACCCAGAACCCAATTTAAAGAGACCAGACCTTCCAGACAGAAGACAAACACTTTCATGCGTACAATAAGAGTGAAAACGTAAGGGAAGGCGTTGGTATGTCTGGAGCAGTAATTTCATCATAACTGCCCCGGCACATAACTGCCCCGAACAGAACATTTCCAACAGCACTGAAAGCCCGGTCTTCGCCTCATGGTCTTGTCTTGCCTTTTCACACCGCCCTGAGTTTTGTGTGTACTGTTCCCTTGTGTTTTGTCCCACATGTGCTTTTAAAATTTTTTACCACATGTACTTTCGCTCTTGTTTTGGAACTATTCTGCAGGTGGAATAGGTGACAGCCACAGAATAGGTGTTTATGGTAGGCCGGGTATGCAGCTGCGCACTGTTGCACGTTTTATCTCTGTCACATCCCACTCTATTGTCAGTTGTGTTGATGGTAATTTGGGGGGCTTGCGGTGTTTTGCTACTTTTTGCTATAAAACGTTCTCACTGCCTTAGCAAGTTCTTTCCTTGGTATATACCCTGGGTATAGACAGGTTCTCAGTCTAGCTGAGAATATTGCCAGCAGCCAGAGCCTGCTGCTCCCCTCTTCCCTCCACTGAATAGCCTGTAGAGATGGGGAGTCCCCCCCATTCTTTCTTTGTCCCTGTCCTTTGTCTATGGACCTTCAGGGGTTAGGAACATTTATAAAACTAGAGATGTGAGGGAGGTGGAGCTTTCTGGGCCATAGTTTGACTTTCAGCTGTGGCCCGGAGAAACAAGCCAGACAGACCTTGAGGCAGGATGCTTTGGCTCTGAGCATGGGTGTGAGGTGGGGGCGGTCCTCGACTGGACATTTGGGTCTTAGGTGGCAGCCCCCCTGTGAGGTCACTACTGGGCTGCAGGACCTAGAAATTCAAACAGAATGCAGCATGCCATTCTCCGATTATATATATATATATATATATATATAATATATATATATATTTTTTTTTTATTTCAACTGGTATGGCTACAATGGAGTCTCCCGGGAGAGGTCCCCCAGCTGCCCAATATCTGGGTCCTAGGAAGTTCACGGTCTCCATGACATCAGACGTCCCGCTCCCCGCGCGCTCCAAAAGTCGTGGCTGCTCGCCGCCGCCTCGGCGATGGCCTCCACACCGCTCCTATCCGCAGTCGTCGCCAACATGTCCACGTCTCTGCGGCGTGGGGAGGCCGCGCTTCAGGCACTGAGGCTGGCTCAGGTTCCTCAGGAACCCGCGGATCCTGCGGAGGATCTTGGTCCCGGACTCCTCGGCGATGGGGGCGTGGCTGGTGCGTCCGTCGGGGGCGCGCCTACCGCGCGCGAAGCTGCTGCTGCCCTTGTCCTTGTCCTCCCGCGCGGCTCTGTGGCCGACTAAGGAGCGGCTGGAGCCCGTCGGGGTGATCTTGTTCCCCGGGGCCTTGTGGCGATTCTCGGCGTCCATGCGGTGGCGGGAACTGCGTGGGGCTCGCTCCTCCTCCCGGCGCTCCCTCCGCTCCCTCCGCTCCCTCCGGCGCTTGCGCGGCGGCCTTCCGGCCGCCTCCCCACTGCCCGCCGAGCTCGGCGCGTCCGAGAGGAGCTGGCCTTCCGACCGGTCCGGAGCGGCTTCTCCCGCAGGCTTGGCGGCAGCTCCGGGCCCGGCGGACGCCAGGCATATCCCGGCCTCCCCCGCTGCGAACTCTGCTGCTGTCCCTGCCGCCGCCACTGCCGCGGCTGCCGCGGCCTCCCTGGCGGCCGCCGCCTCGCTCGTAGCCCCTGCTGCCGACTCCCTGTAGAGCCCCGGGCAGTTTGGGGCAGCTACAGTGAGCATGCTGTTGGGCTTTGGGGGGTCCTGAAAGGTCTCCTCCCCGCCAGCAAAAGCTGCGGAGGTGGCCCCGGCCACCTCAGAGCCCTCGTGGAGGCTCCTGACACTGACCTGGTCCTCATCCCCTTTTCCTTGGAAATCTGCCCCTGCTGGGTTCCTCCCAGCTGGAATGGCCTCGGTTCTGCTGGTTCTGCTGGGATTGTCCACGGGCGGCCACAGGAGGGAAATGAGCTTTTCCCAGTAGGGGAAGAGGTCTTCCTGTGCATCCAGAGGGGGGCTCAGCTTCAGGTAGCAGGAGCTGCCGGTGGCGAACTTGAGGCGCAGCTGTTGTTTCTCAGGGTCTTGAATGGATATCCGCACAAACTTCAAGGGAAGGAGCCTGGTGAGCTCCAGGGTCGTCGAAGCCTTGCGGCCTTTTCCCTTGGTGGCCTGGCCCTGGTCGGAGTACTCTTCACAGCCGGTGGCGGGGCGGGCCAGCAGCAGGACATCTGGGAGCGGGAGGACGGGGCTGGTGGATGCGATGCCCACCGTCACCATTCTGATTCGGTTGTGCACGTCGACGATTTCTCCCCTTTTTGTGACCTGGATAAAGTCGCTTTCAAAAATAGGTGAATATTTAAAAATGTCATATTCTCCCTTGCGCAGTTGTCGCTGGAGTTTCCCCATGGCGGTGTTGAACAGGCCCACCCTGGAGGCGCTGTGGGCTGTGTGATACAGCGGCAGAGACTCCATCTTCATTAGTTTGTATCACAGTGGGGCCGGCGAGCGGTGGGCGTTGGTCTGGGGGCTGGTCCCTGGAGCTTCTCCTCCTCGCCCTCTGTTGGGTTGGCAGAGTGTGCAGCCCCCCTCCTGCGGCTCTCGGTTGGCTCTGTGGCAGGGGTCCCAAACCCACCCCGCGCCCCACAGGCCACAGGCCCCACTTTGTCTCAGAAACTCCCAAGACAGGGGTGAGGGTGGTGGGCTCTGAGGGTGACCGAGGGGACGCTGGTGGGTGCCTGGTCCTCAGATTGAAGCTCTGCAAGGGTATAAAGATCTATGGTGGCTCCTCCACCTCACCTCTGTCCCTTACTTTTTTTATCTTATGTGAACTGCAGTCCTGGTGAGAGACTAAGCACTCTCTCAGCCTACACCCCTGCGCGGCCCTATTTATCCTCTGCTGCCCTTGGTGACCTGTCACTGTGTCACATACCCCTTTGTGACACCCCCTCAGGGCAGGGCGATCATCCTCCCCCCAAATGCCCCGTTGCCCCCACAGAGGACAGGCCCACCGTGCCAGGGACCCAGGGGGGTATCCAAATAAAAATGGCTTCAAGTGGAACAATTTTGTGGGGATTTTTTTTTCCCTCCCCCAAATTCGGAAGATTCAGCAACTGGACAAAATCTATAGGAATTACTATAAGACAAAAGGATACGTTTGAACCCTTTGAGCTCTTGGTTTCGCTTTATCCAAGAACCCAGAATTGGCAGTCTTGACCCTTAACCTGCTCCTTCATAAGATTGCAGTAGACATGGCTGCTAGCAGCCATTAAGAGCCATTAATGATGACATTAAAACCGGCCTCCCCTAGGCACCAGGCCGTGTTCTGCACATACGACCATGAGAATCCATCAGGTTTGGTACTGTTCCTACTGCCCCGTTTTATGAAGAGAGTGAGGTGACATCATCAGCCTAAGTTCACAGAACTAATGGTCGTAGAGGCCATGTTCACGGGCAGGTCTACCGGATTCTAAAGCCTCGTTGGGAACGACCATAGTACTTTGCTCCACAAAGCTTGGGCCAGCCACAGGTTTTAAACCAGACTGATTTAAGACCTTCCTGCGGCACTGTCGGAAGTTGCATGACGCCCTGCGTGTATATGTGTTATGGAGAGAACCTAAGACGCTACCGCAGACAGCGGCTGGGCTGAATTGGGAATTAAATTTTACAGGGGGGCATCTTGGTTCCTCCCCTCGCTTACGCTTCCACAAGCAGCCCATCTGTGGAAACCTGGTTATTGTCTCCTAAGACCCCCCCCACCCAGGTTTTCGTCCCTTCTCCTCCAGTGAAATGAAGCGGGGGTGGGGGGGGGAGTGCTGAGATGTCATCCGCGATTCCAAGAGCTTGCCAAGCAGCCTCCTGGGGCAACAGGAGTGCTTTGGAAGCAGCAACACCTGTGGGGGGCAAGTACCCTCGTCCTTCCTGCCTTACTGCCCCTCCCACACAGCTAGCCACAGAGTATGTGATTTCTAAACTGTTGCTTGAAAGTTCCAGAAGGATTATCTGCTCCCAACTCTCGTATCTCCCGGTTTGAGGTTACGCCCGGAATCCGACATTTGGGATTCATTCCTTGAAATTAAAGGCCTTTCTGTTAAAACGCACACACGTGTTCATCGACAGGTGAAAGGACAAATAAAAGGTGGTCTATCCATACAGTGGGATGTTATTCAGCTGTAAAAAGAAATGAGGTACTGCTGCGTGCTACAACGGGGATGAATCCTGAAAATAGGATGCTAAGTGCAAGAAGCCAGAGGCAAAACGGCCACATACTGTATGATTTCATTTAGACGAATGTTCCAGAAGAGGCAAATCCATAGATATATTAGAGGTTGACTGGGGCTGGCGGGAGGGGAGTGTAGGGAGCGACTGCTTAATGAACAGGACCAGGATTTACTTTGTGGGGGTGAAAATTCTGGAACTAGATAGTGGGGATGGTCTCAGAGCATTGTGAATGTACTGAGTTTCACTCTCTCTAGAATGGGTACGATGGTAAACTTTATGTTGTAGTTTCTCTCTCTCTTACACAATGCACATATACATTCCTGCTTGGAACCCTTTAGAAAGGTCAGTGGCGTGACTCAGCTTTCCATTCCGTCATCTATAAAATGGGGTAAGAGCTGCCGTGAGGATTCAACGAGATAATGCACGTGAAGTGTTGAGCGTATCGTGGAACTCAATAAATCGTAGCTGCTGTAATCATTCATCCTCCACTGACCTTCAAGCGTCGGTGCAGATTCCTTCCTGAGAGCAGTTTTTAAGAAGACAAACTGAGAAGCTTCTGGGGTTAGAGCTACTATGAGAACACAGAAGGATGCTCAGTGGGCAAAACTGGCTTCTTCTGAGTCCCGGCTTCAGGCAGATCCATGAACACACAGAGAAACTGAGCACAACCAGAGTATGGGATGCAAGGAGAGGAAAGGCTTAATATGGGTTTGGGTTTCAAGGGTTTGTTCCAAGCCCATGGGGAGAAAAGTGGGATAAAGATGGAAAATAGCATTTTAGCTCTTGGCAGAAAGTGCAAGTTTTAATTCCAGAATCCTTTAGAACTCTCGATTCTGAAAGAGGTGTCAGGCCCGATGTCAGGGAAAGGCAAGGGGACAAGGATGAGGTCAGGAGAGAGGCTGGACTCTTCCAGGCCCTGCAGTGTGACGTCACCACCCCAGCAGGAGGCGGCCGCTTGGAAAGACAGTGGCAAACCCGGTGTCTGATTCTGGTGGAGGCCCCCATCCGATCAATTCTCCCGGATCCTCCCAACTTCCCTCTCCGTCGAATGTGAAACAAGATGAACTAAACAACTTGATGGTAAATACATATTCATCTTTCTTTATTCAAGTATCAAAACACAAACTTGGCCGCAGAAAATTAAACTGCTGTTAATGCACTTGCTAAAAGGAGCTTTCAGTTCCACTAATCATAGTTCCACTGACATTTTGGCCATAGCCACCACCCACTTCCTTCCTCTCCAATTCATTGTCCGTGGCAGCTGAAAAAAAAAAACGGTCTTGAGTTTTCGTAACAGCTCATTGGTGACACCTACACCTAAGACTGGAGGGTAAATGCAAGAAATCCACCCCCCAACCCCTTAGAGAAACCAGATTATCTCCTGAAAGTGGGGGCAAACAGGTGTTATCACCAACTGGATCTTTAGAGATTGGGAAGTGTCCCTGTTGTGCAAGCAAAGCAGGAAAATCAGGAGACTGGTGTCGCAGGGGTTAACTTGAACCGTGCGGGAGTTCAGAGGAGCAAGCTTCCCATTCACGTGCACAGGAGTCTGAACCTGGAATGAAGCTNCAAGCTTCCCATTCACGTGCACAGGAGTCTGAACCTGGAATGAAGCTTACTCTCCCTCTGAAGAAAGACGTTAGTGGCAGAGTAGCCCATTTTTATTTCTAGCCTGTTACGGATACCTTTGTGTGCAGGCAAAGAGCAAGGGTGCCTAGTTCTGTTCCAGACCTAAGGAATCCTATTCTGGAAATTCCAGAAAACTCGGGGGAGTACCTTTCTTTGAATTAGCACTCCTATCCCATCTAAATGATTCTTTCCCTGTCTTCCTCCATTCTTTCCTTGTGTTTGAAACACATACAACAATCAGACACATATTTGGACATAATGGGTGTAGTCGAGTGACTACTTTCAGAAATGTCCTGGGGCAGAAGGTACAGTGTTGAGCTGAACAACGGGTCTATGCTTTAGGCGTCTGTACATGCAGAGGAACCCAGTTGTATTTGGCAATTCAGATTTTATTTCAAAACTCTATCCTAACACCAAACAGTTAGTCGAAGGGATATACTTGGCTGGCGCCGTGTTCCAGGTCTTGTCAGTGAGAAACCGGGCATCAGATGCCACTGACTGAGGAACAGAATTTAAAGTCAACTATTTCACCCTGGGGCTCCCCAAAGAGCGAAGGATGACTCTTGGGAGAATATTTTTTTTAAAGATTTTATTTATTTATTTGACAGACAGAGATCACAATTAGGCAGAGAGGCAGGCAGAGATAGAGAGAGGAGGAAGGGAGCCTGCTTAGCAGAGAGCCTGATGCAGGGCTCGATCCCAGGACCCTGGGATCATGATCTGAGCCGAAGGCAGAGGCTTTAACTCACTGAGCCACCCAGGTGCCCCTCCTGGGAGAATTTTTAAGCAAAACGCCCCTCTGCCCACAATGGAGGAGTGGGAGGTGGGGAAATGACTTAAGTTCACCCACAAACCCATTGAACAAGAACAGAAACCAGCACGACACTCAAGTTTACCACGTCTTGGTTCCAATATTTATTATATCAACAGGTTAGGAATACTAGGATAAATAAGTAATATTTTCTCTTACAGAAAATTTTAATGTACTATTGAGTAGGATTAAACACTCTGAGGATTTCACAGAAACATCAGAATTTAAACAGACAGTAGCCAGAGTCCTGTGGCCAGTGTGAATGACCTCTCACAGCTCTCAATGCTCTGCGCCAGATTTCTACAAACATCTTCATGACAAACAATGCCACTAACATACAACAATGCTAAAGCCTCGGCATCACCGGTTTCAAATGTGTCTCCACTGAATGTGGTTGTCAACCGCGAGAGAAGGAAAATGGAATATTCTTTAGCTCTTCTGGCCTAGAAACAACTCCTGACCTAAGTCACCGAGTGGAGTCCTAGCCCTTTGGAAGTCAGACTTCCTGCTTTCTTCCTGTGACATTAGAACTGAGTTTGCGACAGAGGACCTGCAGTCATGCCCATGAGTTTTGCATCAATACCTGGGTGCAGAGGGAAAGGGAGCTTTCTCTAGTGATTTGAAGCTGCCCAGCTTGCCAGCAGAATTCTCTTCTCCCGGGGTGGACAAGTTCTTCTGGCCACCTCAACATTCTGTAAGACACTGCCTTGTGGTGATCGCCCCCCAAACTCTCAGAAACCAGATCTGAGGAAAATCACACCGGTGTTGTGTGCAATAAACACCAGGAGAGCACAATGCCTAGCTTGGACCCAGTGATGCCTCGCACACAGTAATTCCGGTGCCTGATAGCAGGTTTGCTAGAAAGCACAACCCTGGCCATTGTACAACGTTGCTAAACGCCATTCTCACTCCGT